TTGTTACATAGCATTGGAGAAATATGTTTATATATATATATGTAAATTTGTAAATTTTTTTTAGATCTTGTTGTATGTAGATTGAAGATGCTTCATTAGTTATTAGTTGCCTTTTTGGAATCTGGGGTTTAAGCATATTTACTGAGCATTTTAGAGCTAGAAAGAAGAAATGCGTTTGAGGCATTTGAAGGTTTGGTGACAAGTATTAGCATTTTTGGAGTGTTTTCATTTGTTTTGGAATATACTGATACATGTCTGCTGTTGCTGGAATCCACCATAATTAAGGAAAAAAATAATATTACCACAGTAGACCTCGTATTTCATTACAAAGTTTTCTTGGCTAAATAACTATTAAAGTATATATTGCAATAACTGATTTATATGACAGTACAACAGCACAGTTATCCAGACATTACCGTTATAACAAACTATAACAGTCCTTTCCCATCAACAAAACTGTTTAATCCCAATGCTAATATTAGCTATAAACAAGATACCATATCCTTCATAGCCATCCTGTTTCATATTACAAATACTTATTAGAAAAACTTTGTAGGAAAGGTATGAATGAGAACAAATAATGAAATGACATGACACAGTTCAACACCGCATGACACGGCACGCCACAACACCGTCCATGACAGCTCAGCAAACATGCACACCACCTTATCAGAATGATTTGTAATTCTGATGCAGATATAATAACACAGATACATCTCTTGTGTTGTGAAGTTGTTTGTTCTCACACCGGTTCTACATTGGTCACTGTGATCCTGTTCAGATAAGCTTTATGTGGGAAATTGTTGCTTATTTGCATATTCCAATCATTCAGACCTAGATTTGGGTATGTTTTTTGCTTACATGTTTTATCAATTTTTCTATCACTTTTTATGCCGTTTGTTGCTTATCATTTTTCTTAAACAGTATGGCTTGCTACTCAGAGTTCCCATCTCGTTTTTTGCCTGGACTGTGGTTGACAAGCCTTTTCTTGCATGTTCTTTGTTTCTAGCCTCAGACGCCGGAGAACCTGCCAAAGTGTCAGAGGTTCCCAGCCCGCCTGGTGATGACCAAACGCATGCAGCCAGTCAGACCCCACCTCTTGAGTCCACAAATATCACTTCTCCATCTGTTCTTTCTCCTTCCATAACACTGACTGAAACCAATGACACTTCCTCCGATAGTGGAATTTCATCTCCATCCAAAATTTCCCCTTCGTACACCACCACTAAAGACAGCAGAGTTTATAGGAATGTTGCTCCCAAAATAACCTTCACTGGGCAGAGGAATGCCCATGTTGTCAACTCTGCTCTCAGTAATGCCAGAGACCCTTCGTCTCCTTCCTCTCCAACATGGAAGTGTCCGAGTTTCTCTCATTCTCCTCGGTCTCACTCGCCTGTTTGCCAGTCACAGTCGCTGCCTAAATCTGCTGAAGATGAACATGATTCTGGATCTGACAGTCCAAGGCTGATGAAGATCATACGGCAAGAATCTACAAGTCCACAGAACACTGAGAGGCGCTACGAGGGTGCACACATTCCTTCACGAGTTTTCCGTCACTTGCAGACTGAGTACCCAGCATCGTCAAATGAAAACAATGAACTTCAAGAGCCCAAATCAAGGGTTAATTCCAAAAGTCCATCTCCTCGTTATGATGGAAGTCCAATACCCCCGAGGGTATTCAAGTCACTGCAGAATGAGACCAATTCAAGCTTTGATTCTGATACCACTGATGGCGACACTCCTTCAAGAGCATCAAGCTCGTTTGCGGAACTAGAGGAGTACTACCATAATGGGGTGTCCAACACACCTTGCACCAAGGATACTGTGTTGAAAGAGCTGACAACTCAGTTTGATAACACAGGTTTCAAAAAGAAGCCAAGAGCTGCGCCAGGAAAGGTCTTCCGGTATTTACAGACCCAGTATGATACTACAGCAGATCCCCAGCCAGAACCACAGCCTGATAATTTGCAGACACCAAGTGATGAGTCCCCAGGCTTTGGTTACCGAGGCTCAAAGGTCCCTTCACCCTCATTCAGGTTCTTGCAAAATCAGTATCACCAACAGCCGGATGAGGAGATAGCAAAGGATAATGAGCCGCTCACACCCGACGCCCCTGCGCATGAGGTAGAGCCCACACCCTACAGAGGAGGCCGAATTCCTGGAAAAACATTTAAATTCCTTCAAGACAACATCACCACTCACCCATCTGTCCTTCAGGCAAAGAAGTAAATTATTTGCCAATGCAGAAGAAAAAAGGAGAAATTTTCCCATAATTTTGTGTTTATAATGGATGTATAAACTATTGCATACATTGTAGTTTCTGATAACTTTCAGGTGGAAAGATGTATCATTCCACAATAACTTCAGGAACTTGCAAGATAGGAATTTAAACAAAGTTCCACCAAGGGGACCAAATTAATGCATACTATTATTGCAGAAAAGTAATATGAGTAAGTCTCAGAATAACCAGACCTGTATGATACCAACACATTCATATTTTCATTTCTTGTGCAGCATTATAATACAAACAGTAATAGACTCTTCAGAACATTCTAATTGATGAAACATTGCACTGAACCTCCCACCCCAGTATGATGAGTGATTTGAATTTGGACAACATGACTATCATGTGCTTCAGAATGGCCCCACCTTATTTACAGAAACTTGCTACAGTAACTTTGTCTTCCTAAGAGATGGCACAAGTAAGCTTTCAGAATTGTGAGTTGTCATTTTTGATAATTTTATATTGCATTGTATTTATTACATTTACTATGTACACAAATAAGTAGTTTGTTGTCTAAGATATATTAATCTATGATACAATGGTATGTCTACTTATGTAGACATGTACATTATCACAAGAAATCTTATTTTTTTATGAAACATAATCATGTATTATAAATGTGCTTAATATTACATGACTGAGGACTTGCAGATCAAGAAATACATAAGAACAGAAGAAATCATTGCATTAGAAGAGAAAATTGATCACATCATTAATTTCATTGGTACTTGTTAACATGCACAAATTTTCATGAAACAACAGACCTGAAATTACACATATCACTGTCCTCATACATATCTCCTTTCCACTGCTATTCCCTGTTGAACTATCCATCCAGGCTAATACGTACCATTTGGCTTGCTTATGGTTTTGAAGATTCCTCACAGGTAAGTAATGTCCGGATGATATCATTTTGGTCTTAGGAGTTTCGTTTGTATGCATGCTTTGTAGTTAAGTTTCAAATATTATTACTGTTTATGAAAAAATAGATAGTATATTTTGGATCATGTACTGTAATTTTTTCCCCTTTGCATGCAGTAGAGTAAATATTCAATGTTTGGTTCAAATGTACCAGCATGACATGCAATAATGTACTATGTTTAACATGGATCTGTGCTTTTCTCATTGCAGTTGCGGGTCCTGGCCAAAGCGATCTGTAGACAGCCCACTAGCAACAAGCAGTCTTTAATGTACACTCAGTGATCAAGATAATTATTTTTTGCATATATCATGTTCAACAGGAAAAAGAATAATACTATGTTAAATTACACATGTAGTTCCCAGGCCCCAATGAATGTGTTTTTATACTGTTTTTAGGAAAATCCAGCAGGTTCCTCTTTTCTGCTGAGCAGAGTATATCTAGTGAGATTTGTCCTACTAATTTTAGTGTACATTACTTATAAGCCATGTTTTGGGTTCTACAAACAGAGTTATGTGGTTTATCCTTGCTGCATAACTATGTACAGTTAGCCTAGCCAATGTATGATTCTTCCTTAAAATTTCTAATAAAGCGCATGTTATTACAGCTTTGTGCTTCCATATGTCTTAAGTTTCTACACAATGCTTAGAGGTTTTATTTCCATGTGGAGCAACCCAAATAGCAATCACACACAGAAAAAAGTTCATGCCACAGTGACTCATGTCCTGTGGCTCTCCTGCACGGAAGCTACCCAGAATAAGTGACCTTTTTACCTTGACTTTTGTAAAGCCTACTGGCCCTGTATACCCTTGTCATGTCACTGCTGTGTCTTGTGGCTGTGTCCACCTCTATTTATACTGCACTTAAAAAAAAAGTCTGTTTGAGCTCAATATTTAGATTGTGTCTGACAATGTGATCGAGTAGATTAGGTTTATTTTTAAGGCATATCGTATTTGTATACCATTTATTTAGCATCTGCTTTTATTTTATGTAAATTGTTTCCTTTTGAAAGAAATATATATATAACTGATTACAACCATTTCATCCTATAAATCATATGCAACACATTATGGATTTATATTTGCCTAGAGAAATTATTCATTCAGAAGTCCACCTTGAATAACAAAAGATAACTTTTCTAAATGTGATGAATATACCATAATATCTAATATATTACCAAAGTTGATATATCTACATATACATATAAATATGTATCAGTACTGTGTACATTTCATTTATGGAATGTTAAGTAGGCTTTTGCAAGGGAGATTAACAAAGATTATAGATCTAGGAGATGAGACAATGGTTTATATATGTGCCTTCGTTTTGTATTTGGAATGAAATAAAATATTAGTAACATGTCTGTTTTTCCTTTGGTGCCCCTGATATAAGATGATAAATGTTACAATATATCCTGTTATTTGTATCTTTATAATAATTAAGGCTTGAAGTTCATTCTATGACTGATATTGCATATATATTTTATCAAGCATTATAACAATTGTCTTTTAAGAAGCAAAATAAGACTTTTAATTTACTCATTAAAAAAAAAAATCGGTGATGAAATGCAGATAACTAAATATTAATGCTAATGTTAATCAGTACTCAAAAGGTTTTCCTAATCTGAAACATTAACTAGAAAGGGAGAGAAAGATGGGGGGGGGGGGGGAGTTTGATGGATAGGTAAGTCCCCTTCTCAGTCCATTGAGGTTTGATTCAAAAACCTGATTTTTTAATCCTGATGAACCAAAATTTACCTGAGTAAAAAAAAAAGCATAGCTGAATATCTTCTCAAAA